AGTATGGGCCAATGCGGCCTTCGGCGGAACGCACCGCGGGGCCTGCGGCGGGGCGGGGCGGAGGGAGGGGCGTTTAAAACCGCGCTGGATTGTTGGGCACGCGAGGGCGGGACAAGAAGGACATGTAAAGCGAGAAAGGGCACGGCATCATCACTGTTTCCCTCATTTCATTTCACCCCTTTCCACCGCCGCTCCCCGTTGGATCGAACCGCCGACGCTTGGCACGTGGGCAGGGCTCAAGAAGCTCAAAAGATACAAAAAGATACAAAAAGATAGAAAACGATATGTTGCACATCGCAAACCGCTGAGAAAAAACAAAAAAGATAGCGGATGATGTAACCCGAGATATAATATGATATGAGACACCACCCGCAACTAGTTAGCATCGTCACTCAAAGTGACTTATAACCGTCGTAACAGCAAAATCCGTGAAGTGGGGCCTCGCCCTCGGGGGCCTGCCGCCGATGTCTCGCCGATTCGAGGTCGACGTTCCCCCCCCCCCCCCTGAGCCCGTCCATCGCTGACGTGGCCCCTCGAAGCAGGCGATCGCAAACGTGGATCAAGGGGGCGTGGATTCGCGACGGGTCCCTCTGCCGTGGGAAATCGCGGGTTCCCGCCGACGAGCGAGGCGGCCCCGGCCGCGTTTTGGGGAGGGCGCCTCCCCGTATCCGTGGATTTGGCGTCCGCGCGCCAAATCCATGGATCGCTAATCCATGTTTGCGCGCCCCCGATCAAAGGTGGGGGCCCCCGGATCCTGGCGTTGCAGTGCTGTCGAGCCGGGCATGTTCGAGCAGCTTCGGGCCCCGGGGCCATCTCACAGATCGATCCTGCTCGAAGCATGGCGCAGGAAGATGGGAGCCAGGGCTCCACTAGAGACTTTGTGGAGGTTTGGCTGGCCACGTTGGATCTCAGGGGAGACGAGGATTAGGGGTGACAAATTCAGAACCATCGGCGGCTGATGCAACCCCACCCTGCTAGGTTTTAAGTCGGGCATGTCTCTCTACAGGAGGAATATTAAAAAATAGTCAAAACTAGTCTGGGGACGATTTACTTTCTATTTTCGAATATGTTTGAATTCGTGTTGACAGATTTTGATTCTTCCTCCGAAATCCGTATGTAGGAGACATGCCCGACCTAATGCCAGGACAGTAGCGAATTGCCTCCTTTTTCGGCTCTCCGCGGGGGGGGGGTGTTGCGGCTGCAGGTCTTGCGGGCTTGCGATGGCCGGGCCTTTTCTCTTCTCGGGGTCACGACTCTCACTGAAGGACGTTTTGCCCAAGTGGGTTCTGACCATCCCCGAAGGTACTCAAACCGCTACAGTCCACCTGCGTTGGCAGGATGGGCAATTTTCCCAAGGACGCTGTTGCATCCTTGCCTCCTCGGTCTCTCCTTGGCCACTTTCGCTGGCCTCGCCCCGCTCGAGAAGCTCCGAAACGGCCTTCCGAGGTCCTACATCCTTGCCGTGCGCGGGCTTGCGATGGCCGGGCCTTTTCTCTTCTCGGGGTCACGACTCTCACTGAAGGACGTTTTGCCCAAGTGGGTTCTGACCATCCCCGAAGGTACTCAAACCGCTACAGTCCACCTGCGTTGGCAGGATGGGCAATTTTCCCAAGGACGCTGTTGCATCCTTGCCTCCTCGGTCTCTCCTTGGCCACTTTCGCTGGCCTCGCCCCGCTCGAGAAGCTCCGAAACGGCCTAGGTCCTACATCCTTGCCGTGCGTCCTCATGATGCGGGATGCAAGTGAACTTGCCAGCGTCAACATAAACATTAAGTTCAGGAGGGGAAAAAACACACAGACACAATTAATCGTTGATCCCCAGGAAAATATAGGAAAATATGGGAAGTGGGGGGGGAAGACAAAAACCTAGAAAATATACGAAAATATGGGGATTTTGTTTATTTGTGTGTATTTATTTGTGTGTCCCAGTTTCCCTTCATAAGTACCTTACAAAGGGGGGCGGGAGAAGTGCAGAATTGGACGAAGTTTAACATATACGGTGCTCCGACGACGTGCTGTTTCCAACCCGCGGCTTCTCCTCCGCCTCCCGGCCCGCGGCCTGGACCCCGGGACGGTCAGAAGGAGGCTGAGGACGAGGAGGAGGGCAGGAGGATGAGGAGGCGGAGGCGGAAGAGGAGGAGGAGGAGGAGGAGGAGGACTGAGATGGATGATGTCAGGATGATGGGCTGATGTCTTGTAGTAGTACGTAGTAGGGAGGATGAGGAATAGCTTTTGCTCCTCCCCCTGCGTGTTGGGCCCGACGGGCCGGAAGCTCCAAAAGCGTCAGCGGGGGGGCCTGCGGTGAACCGGACCACCCAGGGACCCCCGACCGTGGCCTCGCAGCAGGCGAGGAGCAGGAGCTCGGCGAGCTCGAAGACGAGGCGCGCCGAGGCGTGCGGCACGCTCCCGCGGTGCCCCCCGCGGCCGCGAAAAGCTGCGCGCGGCCGCGAGCGCGCGGCCGCTGGCGGGCTGCTTCCAGCCGGGTCCGCTCTGGCCCCGCGCTGGGGCCCTGCCCCATCCCCTCGGGCCGCCGACGCGGCCCTGGTGCGGTGGCCCGGCGAGGGCGCGCCTCTCGGGGCCGGGGCCGGCCGGCGGGAGCGCACGGCGTCCTGCCCTGGAGCAGAGCGGGCAGGCGCAGGCGGGCAGGCGGCAGCAGCGCCGCCACGGGCTCCGCGCGGCCATGCCGCCCGGGTGGGGAGGCGGGGGCGCGGAGGGAGGGAGGGAGGGAGGCAGCGGGCGGCGGGCCCGGCGAGCGGGCCTGAGCAGACCCGACTGGGGGAGGAGGAGGGAGGAGGAGGAGGAGGAGGAGGAGGAGGAGGAGGAGGAGGAGGAGGAGGAGGAGGAGGAGGAGGAGGATGACGAGGGTGACGAGGATTAGGATGAGGATGAGGAATGATGCTGCTGCTGCTGCTGCTGCTGCTGATGATGATGATGATGATGATGATGATGGTGGTGATGGTGATGGTGATGATGATGATGATGATGATGATGATGATGATGATGATGATGATGCTGATGATGATGATGATGATGATGATGATGATGATGCCGATGATGGTGATGTTGATGATGCTGGCTGCTGATGCTGCTGCTGATGATGAAGATGATGCTGATGATGATGCCGATGATGGTGATGTTGAGGATGCTGGCTGCTGATGCTGCTGCTGATGATGAAGATGATGCTGATGATGATTATGATGCGGAGGAGCAAGAGGGGAGAGGAGGGGAGGCGGAGGAGGCGGAAGGAGGAGGGGAGGAGGAGGAGGAGGAGGCGGAGGCGTAGGAGGAGGGGCGGAGGAGGCGGTAGGAGGCGGAGTGATGGCGAGGAGTGATTTGGGTAGAGGCGGAGGAGGAGGTCGAGGCGGAGGAGGAGGCCAAGGAGGAGAAGGAGGAGGAGGAGGAGGAGGAGGAGGAGGAGGAGGAGGATGGGGAGGAGACGCGAAGAGAAGGCGGAGGAGGAGGTGGATGCGGGTGGATGCGGAGGAGGAGGTGGCGGAGGAGGAGGAGGAGGAGGCCGAGGAGGACGGGGCGGAGAAGGGGAAGGCGGAACAACTCTGAGGCCGTGCCCGCCACCGACGCCGCCGCCGCGCGCGGCGAGCCGGCGGGGCCGAGCGCGCCGCCATCGAGAGGCGCCGCGCTTTTCCGTCGTCGTCGGCTTTATCGTTGTCGTCGTCGTCGTCGGCGGCGGCTGAAGACGGAAAACCAGCTAGGCTAGATCCCGGGAGGGGTCCAGGGAACGATGTTGAGCGTCCTGGTCGTCCTTGCTTTTCTCCTCGCCGTCCTCTTCGATCAGTTCCCGGAGCGGGAAAAGTACCGCAGTCGCGTCGCCACGGCCGGATTCTCCTTGATCTCCTGGTTGGGACGCCCCCGGGGAAAGGTCGCAACGAGCAGCGGCGGTAAGCTGGCGGCGCAGTGCCCGCCAGCTCGCCGCCGCGGGATCGCCGATCGGCTCCGCGCTGCCGCGGGGCGGGGTGCTCGGCTGCAGTCTTCGCCCCGTCGCCGGTGGCTGTTGTGGTGGGGAACTTCTGGATCGCGCGGCGCTCCGCCGGTGCTGGCCCACCACGGTGCGGCCCGACACGCTATCCACGTCCTGGGCCCCGAGCGTCCACGTCCCGAGCGACACGCTATCAGCATGCAGGGCATGGCGTGCCGCCGGGGCCGCCGCGGCGATACGCGACGCAAAAGTCCCCGACCGTAGACACGTTGGGGTCGCCCGCTGTGAAGGATGAGTCTTTTCAGAACAACAGAACGAGGTGCAGAAGCGAATGGGTAAAAAAAACAGACGTGCGGTCAAATAGGGGCAAGTAGAAACAGGGATATGCAGTGTGCCAAGGGAGTTGAGCACCAAGCAGGCCCACGACATGCGAGCTTAGCCAGCGCTGCGACTAGTGTTCCCTGATACCTTTCCCTGCGAGTTCTGGTATTCCCACCTTCTCCTGCTCCACATCCTCTCAGGGTGAAGGGTGGGATGGTCCCGCGGATATGAGGCCAAGGCTGATCCACAGCCAGTTCTGTGCTAGCTGCTATTTCGATTTTCCAACTTGTCGTGCGTGTACCGCGCCGTAGCTGACAGGGTGGGGTGTGTGGGGAGAAGCATGCAAAGAATACGAGAGAGAGGGCTTATGAAGGCGTGCCATGCTGATGCGTCCCATGTGTTTACCGAGTTCGTGTTCACCGGCTTCCAGGACAGCCCTCAGAAACCCACAGCGGGCTCATGTGGAGGCTGAGTTCTGTCTGTTGCGTATATCGCGGGCGTGGCTTGTTCAGCTGTCGATGTGTCCGCCCGGGCCAGGGTTCTCATAGAGAGGCGGGGCGTGTTGTGTCTAGGGAGGGCTGCGTGCCTCTGTCTCAAGAGTGCGATGTCATCGATGCCTGGCCTATTTCGGTGCTTCTGGCACTCAGCTTATCTCATGCCTGTTCAGTGAAGTTGCCAGCTCCCGTACTCTGGTGAAGTCGTCAGCTGCCTGGAGGATACGTCGTGCATGCGCTCCAGCCCATAGGATGGTGCTGCAGGCCACGAGCCCGTAAAATTGTTTTATTTTAGTGGCCTTCGGCCAGTGCCGCCGATCGGGGTGGTTTGGGGTGCCCCCCAGACTGGGCGGCGACACTTCGCCGACAGACACGCTCGCACACGCTCGCAGACATTACGCGCACACGCGCACACAATCGCACACACATAACACACACCCACAGACACACACACACACCACAGTCACACACGCGTGTCACCTTCGCAGGCACATGCACACGCACACGCCGGCAACACACACACACATACACACACAGACACACACCACGCACACCGCACAAACACACGCGCACCACACAACAGTCTCGCATTTCACCGCCACCTTCGTCTTCCCCCCCACTTGTTCCTCATTGTTTTGTCCCGTTCCACTTCTCTCTCCCTTTTTCCCCGATTCCCTTCGCGCGTACACGGACAAGCATTACCCCGCGCACACGCGCGCCCCACCTTCCCCTCCTTCCCCAGCAGAGCCAGCCCGGCAACCCCCCCAGAGGCTGAAGCTCAGCCTCGAGGCTGTAGCTGAGGCTCCTTCAAACTCACACGCCACGGAGCCCCCCCTTCCCTTCCCCTGCGCCATCGGAACCCGCGCCACCGGACCCCTCCCCCTTCCCCAAATTCCCCTTGTCCACAGGCGGGATGGGCGACCGGACCGTCCCCTCCCCCCCGCCACCGGAATACCGGACCCCCCCCCCCTACCCCTACCCCGGCAGAGCCACCCCAGCCACCGGACCCCCCCCCCTTTTTCTCCAAATTCCGGGGGACCGGAACTCACGCTACCAGAACCCACGCCGCCAGACCCCCCCTCCCCCCTCTACCCTAATTCCCCTTGTCCACAGGCGGGGCGGGGGACCGGACCCCCCCCCACGCCACCGGAACCCAGGCCACCGGAACCCCCTCCCCCCCTCCACCCCGGCAGAGCCACCCTGGTCCCCCCCTCCACCCCTAACACGCCGGATCGGCGGATTTACGCATGTGTTCTTTCACTGCAAGGTTGGTAATTACATTTATCCCGTGGACATCTGGAGACGACCGATGGCTCCCGAAAGAACGTAGAACAGGAAGAGTAAGGGTCACGGAAAGGACAAGAGGGTAAATTTAACAAGGGTCATTATCACCCGTCCCAAGAAAGTTGTTCGTTAATACGAATGTTCGTAGTAGCATACCTTCTTACTGCTCCGTGACATGTCCGCCGTCAGGACGACAGCTACGCGTGGAGGTGCAACGCGTCAGCGACTTCTGTGGGGAAGTTGTCTACGACAGGCGCCAGCGGATGAGGGGGAAAAGGCATTTGAGGGAATTGGAATTTGTCGAGCACGAGGCAGCTTCTCATCCCCAGTTCTTCAGGAATGTTTCAGCAGTGTCAGTCGTGAAGCAACAGGGCCTCTTTCTGCGATCACCTTGCGAGCAAGGCGCGACTCTACTCACAGGTGTGAGTCCGAGGCGGTACCGATATTTCCCCAACAGGCTATCGTAGGCGCCCTGACTACCACCGACCATTACGCAGTTCGGCCTTCAGGAACGGTGCTGTTTTTGCTCCCTGATTATGGCCTGGAGTTCTTCAGGAATTTCGGTTGATCAAGCCCCCAGTCAGACTGAAGGGGCTTGCCAGCCGCTCCCACGAAACTGGCCAGTCCAGGGTCAGACCTCTTGCGGTGCTGTCTTATCCCTGCGCTGAGTTGCGGCCGAGCCCAGGCCTCCGCGAGCGTCGCAGACGGCCTTGCTCCACAAGGCCCAGGGCGCTGTGGCACATGTCGTTGCGTGGAGTCCGACTGGTGGCGGTTGTGCGCCCCTCCCTCCTTCGTGTACCTGACCGCTGCCCATCCTCTGGCTTCGCTCGCTTGCCCCTTTCTGCCATTTTTCTCGCTCGCGCCCCAGTGCTGCCCGTGTCGATCCTTCGGTTTCGTGGCCCTGCGCTCCTGCGGCCCCAGGGTGGGCTGCCTCTCAAGCAACTTGTGGATCCTGGGGTTGCCCAGAGTCATGCGAGTGCGAGGTGGCCTTTCAGCTCTTTCCGCAAATTGGCGTGCCACAGACCGCCAGAGCAGTGTTCTTGCCAGCGCGGCAGGATTGCAACCTTCCCTGGTGGGTCCTCAGCGCGTCGTCGCAAGCATGTTGTTGTTTTCAGCTGGCACGAAGTTATACCCGGAGTGACGATCTGACTGGATGCCCACCGAGCTCGACTCGGTTCGATTCCCTGTGTAGCTCCCATCCCCCCTTGCCCTCTTGTTCCTCCCCTTCCTTCCCACGCCCCGTTCCCCGAACCTCCCGCTCACTTTGCCTCTCGTCTCCCCTCGTCTGTCTTAACCTCTCCCCCCTTTTTGTTCTCCATCTTCCACCTTCTCTCCCCCTCCCCACCCCGTGTCGGTTTCCCTCTTTCCCTGAATCACCTCTCTTCTATCCCGCTCTCCCTCTTGTTGTTGTTGCTGTTCTCCCTCTCTCTCTCTCTGTCTCTTTTTTTTTTTGTTTTCTCTCTCTCTCTCTCTCTATTTCACAATATGAATACGGTTGGGACGTTTGGTAAGGAATGTGCCCAGGAGGCCAGACCCTGGAGGCTTCCTCATCTGATGAGGTCGGCGATGATATCCATGGCCGGTCCACGATTGGAGTTTCACTGGCTTCTAGGCCCTGGGTTCGTAATCGAAGGTTTCTGTATTCAATGCCATCACCGTACTCACCGTACTACTCTCCTCTCTCCCCTCATTACGTCTGGAAGATGTCCGGCCCCCCTCCGCGCATTGCTTCTCTACGCACAGGATTTCCGGAACATGGGTTTTCGTTTGGGTTTTTTTTCAAAATATAGCTCCCGCTGAAGCGCTGGCCTCAATTTCGGGCTTCCGCCCGTTCCGAATCATGCTCCCGCTGCAGCGCTGGCCTCATTTCCGCGCTTCCGCTAGTTCCGAATCGTGCTCCCGCTTCAGCGCTGGCCTCATTTCGGCGCTTTCGCTCGTTCCGAATCCTGCTCCCGCTGCAGCGTTTTCGTAATGATTTCCAGTGCTTGCCACGGCATGGTTTTCGGTCCTTCCAAATAGGCCCTAAACTTTAGAAATTGCCCCCCCCCCCAAAAAAAACATCGGGAGTGATTCCATATTCGGTGTCGGTTCGTTGATTTTTTGGGCCACAGAACCCCCCCCAACTTTCGGGCGTCGCCACGCCATGCGATGTCATGCTACGCGTTGATCTTCAACACCATGCCATGCCATGTGATGCTATGCCATGCTGCGACATCCGATTGAGTCGTTTCTTCCCTTCTGTGAAGGCCAGATAGTCAGGGTTGAGTAGCCTGGCTCGACATCTTCTGGCAAATACAGCTACCGTGCTTGAAGCCAGACACAGTGTCAAGAGGAAGCTCACAGAGCGCTTTACACGTGGTGTTTTTCCCTACGTCGGAAACATAGGTGTCGTTCGTGTCAACGTCGGCCTGCCCCGCGTCACGCTGGAGACGGAACGGACCACAGGTGCCTGCAGCCCTTAAGGCAGGCGCGTCCCCGGGCAAGAGACGCCCCACCATAATGGGTGCAGTCGGCCCGTGGGGGTGGGCACATAATTGAAAGATGCTTGTGCCCTTGTTACAGTGTTTCGACAAGTTGAATTCGCTGTCACATTCTCCATATTCCATTCACTTGCTTGTGCTTTGTTGCATTGTTTCGATAATACTGCATTCAGTGTTGCAAAGGCGGTTGTCTCTCATCAAGCGATTTGGTCAATCATCAGGCAAACTTCTGGTTATCAGCCGAAAGTCTCTCCAAGAGCTCGTCTTCGGCGGTGCAGCATTTTTCCCATCAGCCAGAGTAGTAGCAGTGGTCGCTTTACCAAAGAGGGGGCTTCGCACGTGCGCTCTGATTGTGGTGCCCGAGAACCGGGATACGAAGTCGGTTCCGCCGTCCTGTGCTCCAGTCAGTGCTCTGGTCACGGGGGCGGGGGGGCGGACATTCAAGGAAAAAGGGGGCACCTGCGGCCAAGCCGCCAGGTGCCGACGATGTCACGAAAGAGGGGGCAGTCGTTTCCTCCCTTCTGTGAAGGCCAGATAGCCAGGGTTGAATAGCCTGGCTCGACATCTTCTGGCAAATACAGCTACCGTGCTTGAAGCCAGACACAGTGTCAAGAGGAAGCTCACAGAGCGCTTTACACGTGGTGTTTTCCCTACGTCGGAAACAAAGGTGTCGTTCGTGTCAACGTCGGCCTGCCCCGCGTCACGCTGGACACGGAACGGACCACGGGTGCCTGCAGCCCTTAAGGCAGGCGCGTCCCCGGGCAAAAGACGCCCCACCATAATGGGTGCAGTCGGCCCGTGGGGGTGGGCACATAATTGAAAGATGCTTGTGCCCTTGTCACAGTGTGTCGACAAGTTGCATTCGCTGTTACATTCTCCATATTCCATTCACTTGCTTGTGCTTTGTTGCATTGTTTCGATAATACTGTATGCAGTGTTGCAAAGGCGGTTGTCTCTCATCAAGCGATTTGGTCAATCATCAGACAAACTTCTGATTGTGCGAATAGAGAGGAGATCCACGCCATGGCATGGGATGGGAGGGAAGGCTAGGACGTCACAGATGACGCGAGCTCACCTAGCTTGCCCTCTCCCCCATCCCTCTCTATAGTTATAGCTGCATATCTCGATGTGTGTATGTGCTTGTGTGCCCCTGTCTCCATGTCTCGAGGCATTTGTACATGCACCTCCTCATGAATGCATACATGCGGCTATTCCCCAAACCATGCTTGCACTTAAGGGTTCTTGCTTCGTTTTCTGGAACTGGGCCTGGCTGTCGCCCCAGCCTGCTTGTTGCCGCCCGTCGCCAAGGCATGATTGCCGCCGTCGCCGCCTCGTCGCCGACTGTCGCAACCCTTTTTCGCCGCCTTGTGTTATCCGTTGTATATCGGCCGCGCACGCGATCTCACATCGAACAAGATTTCGGAAGAATGAGATTGCGGGTGGGACGCATGGTGGCGATGATGCGTTCACCATTGTCGTAATATTTGCTTGTCGGCCAGGGTCGTGGGGCAAAATATCCTTACTGAAAGAACGGCTGTCTCTTCACAAGGAGCCCGCTTTCTTTTAACTCATGATTGTTATGTTTCGTGTCCTCCAATTGGTCGGTTCCGAAGAAGAACTTGTGTTCTTTTACATGCCGCCGATTTTTACGTGGCTGGCGGGTTCAGAATCTCTGGGGGGGGGGGCGCCGCTGTCCACCAGGCGCGCCCGCTCGACATTAACAGATCGAGCGGCTTTTGGGAGAAATATAACCTTGCGTATGCCTTCGGTTTCCTCTCGGACATTGTGGCCACCACGTCGATTGCACCACACGTAGATCTTCATTTCTGAAACGAAAGCAAGATCTACCACCCCCTCCCCCATATTTATCGCGCCCCTGGGGCAGGGCAAGGTACAAATCATTCTGCCCCATCGTTCGCCTTCAATGCGAATATGTACCACTCCAGGGGAGACCCTTATCGACACCCCCCCGTCATCCTCCCGCACTTTTCGATCACAACTCCGCACTTTCCAAACATCTCTGGAACCAGATGAGACAACGTCGGCACGCGCGCGTCGTCGCGCGCTTGTGCCGAAATTTCTTCCAAATGTCACGTGTCGTGCGGATTTCGGGGCCGAGGTTCCCGAACACAACAGTTTCAAAAATAACAGCGCGCTTACTTCACGAACGCCGAAGTTTTTTCAACATCCCCATCACATGCGACCAAGCGGGCCTCTCGCGCGCGCATGTCGAAATCATTCGATTGCCGTTACGAGACTTTTGGCGAGGGGAGGCGCGATCCCTGTGAGATAGTTCCATGCGAGCCACTCGCGCCCGTCGGCCGCGCGCGCATGTCGAAACCCTCCCAAAACCTGCATCACCAACACGTGGACACCATGGTCATCGGCGTGATCAGCGTCGGCGCCGTCATTGGCCTTGCCGTTGTCATCGACATCATCGTCACCAGCATCGGCACTATCATCATCGTGGGTTGTGTAAAGCAATTTGCAAGTGGGTATCTGGGACTATTGCGCGAGCAGTGGAGTTGACAACCCACCGTGGACAAACGTTAGTTCTCCGATCGAAAAGGGCAATGGGATCTACACCCCCCTGGATTAAACCCCCTTTTAGCATTGCAATTTGGATACGACCCTGCCCCATCGCCCATCCGAAAAAAAGACTCGTATCATCCCAGCCGCGCCGGTAACGGTTCCCCTCTTGATCATTTGCTAAAAATGTCACGCGCGCGCCTTCGTTAATAAAAAATCATCAGTTGTCCATCGTTGTCACCGTTCTCGACGTCACCATGATGCCCCGTCCGCGCCACCGACCCGCATTGAAGTGCTCGCGCGTCAGCGTGGCCTTTGACACGTGCTGGGAAGTTGTCAACGGTAATCGCCATCGCGGCCACATCGGCTGTGCTAAACCAGCTGGCAGCTCTTCGCACGAGCTTGCGCGCGCCAGCGCGGCCGCAGAAATGCGCCAGCCAGGGCCACGCAGTCATCGCAATCGCCGCCGCATGGGTCTTGCAAGCCATGTTGCGGGTGGGAAGGTGGGATGTCTGCTCGAGCACTGGAGTTGGCAGCTCCTTCTGCTTCCGAACCAATTGCACCACGTAGGTGGCACCGCGTGGAATGCACCACGTAGGTTGCCCCCTAGGCGGAAGCATACATGTACCTACGTATACGCATGCGTGTCTGTATGCGATCATATACATATATGTCAGTACACACACACACGTACACACGAAAGCAGTGCCTTATAAATGCCCGCAGGTGCCTCTGTAGTCCCACGTGTGTGTGGTTGGATGTCCCTCTGTCCCTCTCGTCCTCTGTTTGCCTTTCCCTTTTCTCTTGCCCCCCCTCCCCCTCCCCCTCCCCTCCCCTTCCCTCCCCTCTCCTCCCCCCGTCCCCCCTCCCCCTCCCCTCTCTCCCTCTCCTCCCTCTCCCTCTCCCCTCTCCCTCTCCTCCCTCTCCTCCCTCTCCTCCCCCCTCCCCCCTCCCCCTCCCCTCCCCCTCCCCCTCCCCTCCCCTCCCCCTTTCCTCTTGCCCCCCCCCCTTCCCTTCTCTCTTGCCCCCCCTCCCCCCCCCGACGCTCAGCTGGCACGTGGAGGCGGAGCTCGGCAGGCAGCGCGCGCGCACGGCGTGCGTCGCCGCGGCGCCGCCCGCCGCCCGCGGCGAGGCGCGGACCCCCACGGTGACGGGGCTCGGCCTCGAGGTCGTCGTCGTCGTCGTCGTCGTCGTCGTCTCCCTCCTCCTCCTCCTCCTCCTCCTCCTCCTCCCTCCTCCTCCTCCTCCTCCTCCTCCTCCTCCTCCTCCTCCTCCTCCCTCTCCTCCTCCTCCTACGCTTCATTCCGCCTCGTTCTCGTCGTCCTCCATATTTTCCTCCTCGTCCTTGTGCTCGTGTTCCTCCTCGTGGGCGCTCGGGAGCCTCGAGACGGGAGCCCGCGCATGTCGCTGCCGGGCTCCCCGGGGAGCTCTCCGAGAGCTCAGGCGGCTTCAGATATCGGGAGCGGAAAAGAGGGGGGTGATGACTGGGGGGGGTGGATATCATGGCGGGGGCCATGGTATTTCCCCAGATTTCATGGCGCCCCTTCTTATTCCATTACGTCCCTGGCCCCCCCGCTGGGCCGCGCACATGCCGCCGGTCATGATTTGCACCCCCCCTCTTGGACACCCCCCTCTTAGCCGCTCCCGGCAGATATGAGGAGCCGGCAGGCGAGGGCAGCCTGGGGAGCGTGCTCCGGCAGGCAGCGGCAGCTGCGCTTCCTGTGGAGTCGCAGCGTGTCCCGGAAGGCCCTGTCCACCTGTTCCCCAATACTCCAGGTTTCCCAGATGGGGCCCGAGTAGATGGGGTTGGAGGATCGCGCCGTATCGCCAATGCATCGGCGGTGTGGCTCGCTGTGGAGCCCGATTTCCTCAACGCTGGCGTCGCTCATGCATCGTCGATGCATCGGAGATATTTCGCCGATGCGGCGCGATTCTCCGACCCCATCTACTTCGACCCCATCTAGGAGGCCAATAAATACATGCGCCGGCAAGTTTGCCAGAGGCTCCTCCGGAAGCTCCATCCAATCCCTCCAAGAGAGCTCCCAGAGCTCCTTCCGAGAGGTGTTGAGAGGCCTCCGCGGCGCTCCGCTACCCGGGCGTTGGATCCCACAGGTTCCTTCGAGTCCTGGCGGGCCCCAGCGAGGGGTGAAACGTTAACACGCGTACTGGAAAAAAGGCACGGACTTGACAACGCCATACGAGTCAGGTGGGGCGGGGGTCGGTGCAAGCGGGGGTCAGCCAGAGCGCCGGACCTTGCAGGATCCTGCAGACCCGGGCTTGCGCGCAGGATCCTACATGATTTTGAAGGTTCTTGCAAAGCTTGCTTGGCCCGAGTTTGCACTGACCCAGGTCAGCCTTCAGCGATTCCCACTGATTCAGCCCCTCCCCCACTGCAGTGCAGCAGGCATCGCGCTGAGGCAACCCAGGGGAGCGCTGACAAGGGGGTATGACATGGGCCCGTTCGCGCCAAGATCTCGGGGCCTCTCAGCCGAAACGCCCCCTGGGGCAGACAACGCGTCGCTTTCTCAGAGCCCCATGGCCCCCGTGGTGCATCAGGCATCGGGCTTGAGTCGGCGTCAACCCAACATACTTATACTATGTGTGCGTCGCCCCCCCAGGGGCGACGCGCGCACCGAGAAATCTTACATTATATGCGTCGTGGCGGGCGTTTTCTGGCCGCACCGCTCGGGAAACGATATACTACAAGATGGGTATACTATATGTTCGGGTCGGACGCGCGCCTCCGAGGAGGACATATAGTATCAGTGTGTCTCTGTGCATCCCATTGAGCCTTCCAAGGGGGAGCCGCCAGGGAGTGTGGCTTGTGCCCGCCGACGCCCAGATTTTGAGCACGCATGGCGCTTGAGCCTCCCCGAGGGTGAGCCGCGATGGGGTCTGCCACGGGGCTCCTTTCGCACCCAGGTCTCGGGGGCCTCTCGGCCTTACCGCCAGCTTCGGGAAGCCGGCGCTTCTCCTCGGAGCCCCATCGTCGCCGCGATGCAGCAGGCATCGCCTCCTGGGGAGCGGCACGGGGGAATGACGCGAGCTCGATGGTGCTCAAGCTGTAGAGGTCCACGCCCGTTTGTGCAAGAGGACGTGTCTTTTTTGATCGGCGCCCCATCGTTGCCGCGTTGTGGGAGCAGCCGGGGGGGTATGACATTGGCTGCTTCACGCCCAGATCTCCGAACTTCCCCAGCGAAACGCTCGTTTTGGGAAGCAGACTCGTCGCTCTTGTTGTCGTTTTCTCATTCATTATTTTGCCGATCGGCGCGGGCCCTCGCGCCACCCTTTCCCCCCCCCCCCTCCCTCTGGAGTGGATCTTGGCGATTTTCGGCGCCTGTTTCAAGAAGGTGGAGTCTTCCCCGTGTGACGCACTGTCACGAACAGTCGCACTAAGCAGAGGTCCAGGGCCAGACCTCCCCTGCTCCGCTCCTCTTCCGCCCGATGTCGAAACGTTCACCTTTACAGCCCCACGATCCCCGCCACATAGCGGCCGTGGCACTAGGGCCCTCCAACAGGAGAGCCGTCGGTGGGTATGGTTTGCTGTGGGCCCTTTCGTGTTCAGATTGCGGGTGCCTCTCAGGCGACATACCAGTTCCGGGAAGCATGCGTGCCCCATCTCACAGCCCCACTATCACCGTGATGCAACAGCTTGGCGATTTCACGAGTTGGGCCGCACTGGGGGGAGCCGCCAGCGCGACCCCGCTCGAGACTGGAGTTCTCGAGGGCGGTGCAAGTTTTCGGGGGTACGCGCGCTTCGTTTCGCAGCCCCATGCGCACCTCGATATAGCAGGCGTGGCACTTCGGCCTTCCAAGGCAGAGCCGTCAGGGCTAGGACACGGGCCCTCTCGCGCCCACAGCTTTGGGATCCCCCAGGCGAAACGCCCGATTCGTTTATGAACTGGCCGCGTGTTTGCTTGTTGCGAGGCCCTCTGGTATCCGCGATTCTGCAGGCATGGCACTTGGGCCTCTCAGGATGCATCTCGGGCGAGACGCGCGTGATGTGAATTAGACGTGTCTCCTACTGACAGAGCACCATGACCACTGCGATGTAGTAGGCATGGCACTTGGGCCTCCCAAAGGGAGCCGCCAAGGGGAATTACACGGACCCGGTTTCGCCCATTTTGCGGGCTTCCCGGGCGTCCCCATGCAGGACTCTCTCATTCATGCCCAGACTCATTCATTCTCCGGTCCATGCACATCCAAGCCCACTCATATCTTGGTTCGATCTTACTCAGCCACTCACTGTCAGGCTCACTCGCACCCAGACCCGTTGACATCCAGGCGCTCATACGCAGACGCACTCAGTCATCAGAGTGAGGGGGCCCAACGGTCATTCACTGTCCCTGAGTGCGTGGCGGAAGTGGTGTTCCGCGGTGCGGATTGTTGTTGCGTTGTTGTTCTTGTTGAGCTCTCACTTCTGAAGGATACTTATTGTTGATACCCCCCTCCAATAGCCATTCTATTTTTCCGATTGAAGTGGCCCTTCCCAGGGTTCGCACCCTGTTTTTTTCCCCGAGCCACAACAACAACGGCTCCCGCCTGATACATCCCTACAATTTACTTAAAATCCCCCCCCTCGCGCTGGATTCCCTCACGAATTATGCAGTACTCGCGCCTTCACGTGGGACGTCTTTGTGATTTGTTCAGACGCCGCGCCCTCGACACTCCCGAGTCACGCTTTCGCTTTGGCCTTTCCTTCCTACGATTTTTGTTTGAGAGTCGCCCTGTCGCTCGAGACTTCCTTGAGATTCCTGCAGGACTCACGCTTCGGCAGCACGCCTCCTCGACCTGGCCACTGTGGCTCGCCTTCCCGACCCACCCGCTAGGGAGTGCACCGCCCGATCGGCCCGTCTGGTTTCGCCATGCGATTTGTGCTCATACACCCCATTCTGCGAATGATTCGCAGGGAGAAGAATGGACCACGGGATTAGCAGCTAATCCCGTGGTCCATCCTGCTCCCTCCCCATTCCATCCGGCCTCTCTTCCGTTGTTTTAGGGGCTGCACAAATTATACGCAGCAGGTTTGGAAGATATGCCCCCCTGGGGATACGATCAAAGAGGAAGAGGGCGGGCATCTAGGGTATGCGGTTGACGTGTAGAATGGCACGCGAGCAGATAAGAACGAACAATAGTTAAATGATTGTTGTTGGTGTTGTTGTAGTTGTTGTGTTTGATGTTTTGTTGGTGTTGGTGTTGGTGTTGGTGTCCGTGTTGTTATTGGTTTCCACTCTTGAAGGATAGGTATTGTTGAACCCCCCTCAGGTACCAGATGTGTTTTGTCAATTGAAGTGTCCCTCCCGGGGTTCGCACTTTTTTGCAAACGAATCAAGAAAGTCTTCCTCCTCAAACTGTGTCCTTGGCCCCCCGCTTACAACAAGAACGGCTCCCGTCTGATTTTTCTTCACAGTTGATTGGAGAATCGCGCTCTTTCCAGGGACTTCCTTACAAGTTATCAAGCAATCGCGCTCTCGCCTGTGATTTCCTCGCAATTTGTTCAGGCGCCACGCCCTCGCCATTCAGGAATCGCGCTATCGCTCAGGATTTCCTCATAATCGGTTTCTCGCCCGTGACTTGACTTCCTGGTGAAGTATGCAGGACTCACGCTCTTGCGTAACATATTTCTCGTGTGAATTTATTATTACATATATATATACACCTTTATATACACAAATGTTTACACGTTGGAATGTAGTCGTCCCGCTCAAACTGTGCCCCTGGCCCCCCGCCTACAATAACAGCGGATCTCGCCTGATACGCCCTTGCAAGTTATACCAGGATCGCGCTCTCGCTGGACATTGCCTCGCAGGTTCTTCTTGCGTCGAGCTGTCGCACCAAGGAAACGCGCTGTCGCTTGGGACTTCCTCGCAATTGCACCAGGCGGCGCGCCCTCGACACTCGGGAGCCACGCTCTCGTTCCTGGATGTCCTCACGATGTGTGTTTCGGAATCCCGCTGCCGCTCAGTGCTTCCTCGCTTCTCATGCAGGGCGCACGCTTCAGCCACCCGCCTGCTCGACCTGGCCGCCTGGACCCGCCTGTCAGCGTCTACCTGCCCGATGGGCCCGTCTGATTCTGCCACGTGCTTTCTGTTCCTAGTCACCATTCCTGCCTCTCTCTCTTGTGCTCCATGCTCCTCTCCCCTCCCTGTTCCTCCCTTTCAGCCGTTCTCTCTTCCCTTGCTTTAGGTGCTGCACGACATACACGTTGCAGGTAAGACACATGTACCCCCAAGGGGGTACGATCGGAGACGAAGAGGGTGGGTATCGATGGGATTGGGATATACGTGTTGATTGGCACGCGAGCAGATACGAGCGAACAGTCTCAAACTGATTGCAGTTGTTGTTGTTGCTGATGTTTTTTTGTTGAACTCTCTTTATTGAAGAACGTGTATCGTTAGTCTCCCTAGTTGGTGCACGTTGAGTATTTCAATCGAAGCGCCCCCCTCAAGGCCCGCACACTGTTTTTTACTAAGGATCGTCTTCGTGCTCAAACAGCGCTCGGGCCCCGAACCACAACAACAACTACTCCTGGCTCATATCTCCCCCACGATTTATTCCAGAAACGAGCTCTCGCGCGGGACGTCCTCACAAATTATGCTGGAATTGCGCTCTCGCGTTGGTCTTCCTCGCAATGTATTCAAACGCCGCGCCTTCGACACTCAGGAATCACTCTCTCGCTCCGGTCTCTGTCACGATTTACTTGGGTATCGCGCTATCGCTCGAGACCTCCTCGCGATTCACGCAGGACTCACGCTTCACAATCCCGCCTGCTCGACCTTGCCCCCTGGGCCCGCCTTCCCGACCCGCCGTTAGGGTCTGCCCGCCCGATGGGCCCGTGCGGTTCTGCCACGTGTTTTCCATTCTTACCCCCCCTCCAACTAATTTCTCCCTTGCTCCATCCTTCTCCCTCCCCCTTTCCATCCGTCTTCTTTTCCCCTGTTTTGGGGGCTGCGCCCAATGCGCGTGGCGGGTAAGGAAGATGGACCCCCGAGGAGGCACCATCGAAGACGAATACGGCGGGCACCAAGAGCTTGGGCTATACATGTGAGTGGCACTCGAGCACACAGGGGCGAACAGCCTTGAAATGAGTGTTGGTGTTGAACTCTCATTCCTGAGGAATGACAATTGTTGATCCCCCCTCCACCGGTGCACATTTTGTTTTGTCAATGAAATGGCCCACTCGGAGCTCGCACCGTCTTTCTCATCAGGAGAACTCATCGTGCTCAAATTGCGTTGTTGGGTCCCGAACTACAAAAAAACGACAACGGCTCCCGCGTGACACCTCCTCACATATTTTCCAAAATCCAGCTCTCGCGCGGGACGTCCTTACAATGAATGCAGGAATCGCGCTCTCCCGTTGGACTTCCTTGCAATTTATTCAGGCGCCGTGCCCTTGGCATTCAGGAATCACGCTCTCGCTGTTGGCCTTTCTCACGATTTACTCTTGAGTCGCGCTGTCACTCGAGACTTCCTTGCGATTCGCGCAGGTGTCACGCTTCAGCATCCCGCCAGCTTGACGTAGTTGCATGGCGCTAGGGTCTGCCCACCCGCTCTGCCCGTCTGGTTCTGCCATGTGTGTTCCACTCTTAGCTCCCCTCCTGGTAATTTCTCTACTCCGTCCTTTTGCTCCCCCTTTCATCCGTAATCTTCCCCGCGTGGCAGGTAAGGATGGTATACCTCCAAGAGGGGCACACTCGAAGACGAATGGGGCGGGTACCGAGGATTTGGGATATACGAATTGAATAGCACGCGAGCAGGTAGGAACGAAGATTCAAGAAACGAGTGCTGTCGGTGGCTGTTTTGTTGTTATGTCCACTAGCCATCAAGTCACACCAACCCAGCCCGAAGGCTCCAATTTGCCCTCCAATCCAAGTGGGGGGAGGCGTCGGGGAACATAAAAAACAATTTGGGCCCTGCACCCCCAACTCGAAATTCAGGTCTTCGGGTTGGGTTGGGACTTAGTGGGCCCTGGAAACGACAGGGCCGTTTTTTCACCGGTTCCGTTTTGCAGTTTGTTTGCCGGTTCCGACGCCGTTATTTTACCGTTTCCGTCGCCGTTGTTTGACCGGTTCCGGCTCCAGTTCCGATCCTGGAGCCGTTTTTTTGCCGTTACCGGTCGCCGTTTTTTTTTGCCGTTTCCATTGTCAATGGACACTTTTTTGGAAACGGTGAAAAAAAGGGCCTTGCCGTTTCCGGGGCCCACCAAGGGTGGGGATGGTCTGGTAAGTAGTCAGCAGTTGTTGCTGTTGTTGTTGCTGGGTTGTTATATTTTTGTTGTGGTTGTGGTTGTGGTTTGGTGTTTGGCGTTTGTTGTTGTTTTCGTCGTCGCCGTCGAATCCGAATATCTAATGTGCATTTTTCAGTCGGCCACCCCCTCTCCGGTTGTCATTTTATGTTTCAATTGAAGTGCCCTTCTCGCGGCTCGCACCCTGTTTTATATCCGGGGGAATTCGGTATAACCAAATTGCTGTGTTGGGCCCCGGACCACAGTAGCAACTGCTCCCGCCTTATACTTCTTCATTCTGTATTCCAACATCGCGCTCAGAAGTCGCGCTCTCGCATGGGATCTCTTCAGATTTATTCATCCAACGAGTTGCGCTTCGTCGAAGGGACCGCACCTAACGCGACCGGCACGAGCAGCACTGATGGCAGGTGCGCAGATGTTGAGCCAGATGCAATCATCTTTGGCGGCGATGGCAGCATAAAGAGTTCAAAGGAGTGCCTTGTCAACAGGACCGTCGCCGCCGAATGTGGCGGTTTGCCCCCAGACGCGTTCTGGTGGCTCTCGTTTGCAGCGGGCTTGTTTGAGCACCTCACGGCCGACGTGGCATTTCCAGACATTGTCGAGGCCTCCGTGCAACTGGTGTTCCCGGACCTAAAAGACAGCAAGAGGCGCCAGCTTGCCAGGTGGTTCTCGAAGGGGAGTTTGATTGAATCGTTCTTGGATGGCCGTTGGGAGCTGATGCGCGACGCACCGCGCCCGCGGAGCCTGACCGGGTGCGACTACCTCGCATCTTACGAGGTCAGGGTGTTTTTGAACGCCGACCTTTTATTAAGCGCGAGCGAGTTTTCCTCGATCCAGTTCATTTGCCCGGTCTCGTGCGGGTGCTCTCTTGGCGAGATGTACAAGTCGTCTCTGTCGTCCGACGGCGTCCAGTTCAGCCGTGTTGACGACATTTTGATGGTCAGTAACAGGATGGAAGACCTGGGCTTCTGCCCTGCCGCATGCCTGATGACGCGCCCGAGTATCTCCTGGAGATTCCAGCTTCGATGCCATCGGTGGCGACCGCGACAGCGCGGACGGCGCGGACGACGAGGACTACGGCATGGACAACTACTTCAACCAATATTATTACCACTACGAGGAAAACAACGACAACGCGAACCGCGGCTTTCAGTGGGCCACGGATGCCGCGGGGTACACTTGCCAGCATTGGGCCTTTTTTTCATTGGGAGTGCACGGACTACTACGACGACGCCGACTTCGCTGCCTCTGACTTGTGCTGTTGGTGCGGTGGTGGAGATCGCTCTCTCTCTGAGTGAAGCGTAGTTGTGTGGCCACTGGCTGTTGTTTCTCATTTTCCAATTTTTATCCATTCCTTTTTATGCATTTCCAATTATAACTTTTGTCCGTAAGGGCTTCGCCCCCTGCCGCCGGCCCCCTCTCTCGGAGAATGGGCCATGGAAGAGCTAAGTCATAAGGCCTTGGCGCTGTCGTGAAGCAGTATCGAAACTTCATGCGAAGCCGATTCGCAATCAGCAAAACCAACTGATCACAAGAGGGGTTACCACACCTGGCGATTGGTAAGACGTGTATGGTTTACGGGCTTGGTTACCACACCTTGCGATTAAAGGGCCGAGGGAGTTCTCGCAGTTTGGGTTACCACGCCTTGCGATGGATGTGCGTGAAGGGTGGCGCCGAATTTCAGAAATGTGGCAAATCCCATGTGTTTTTGGACCCTGACCCCGCGGATCTGCGTGAGGGGTGGCACCGAATTTCAGAAATGTGGCAAATCCCATGTGTTTTTGGACCCTGACCCCGCGGATCTGCGTGAGGGGTGGCACCGAATTTCAGAAATGTGGCAAATCCCATGTGTTTTTGGACCCTGACCCCGCGGATCTGCGTGAGGGGTGGCACCGAATTTCAGAAATGTGGCAAATCCCATGTGTTTTTTTGACCCTGACCCCGCGGATCTGCGTGAGGGGTGGCACCGAATTTCAGAAATGTGGCAAATCCCTTTGTTTTTGGACCCTGACCCCGCGGATCTGCGTGAGGGGTGGCACCGAATTTCAGAAATGTGGCAAATCCCATGTGTTTTTGGACCCTGACCCCGCGGATCTGGGTGAGGGGTGGCACCGAATTTCAGAAATGTGGCAAATCACATGTGTTTTTGGACCCTGACCCCGCGGATCTGCGTAAGGGGTGGCACCGAATTTCAGAAATGTGGCAAGTCCCATGTGTTTTTGACCCTGACCCCGCGGATCTGCGTGAGGGGTGTCGATTTCGAGCCCTCCAGCAATTCAGACAACGCGCCCAGGGGACGCTAAAAAGCAACTTTGGGCCTCCCCCCCCCTCGCGCGGTCAATCAACTAGTTACAGTAACCAGCAATAAGTCAACTAGTTACAGTAACCAGCAAGAAGCAGAACTGTAACACTGGAAACTACGACCTACGACTGGTACAGGAAACTGCGAATCACGGGCCTACAGCCTGGTGGCCCCACAAGGGGGCCGGCGGATTCCTGAATTTTCCTTGCCGTAGATGCTGTGTGGCACTTCGTCGGAGGGTAGGCCCGACGTTGCCCCAGCAGCCAGAGTACTGCTGCTGCACCGCGCCTTGCCTTTGCGCAACAAAAGATACTTGTTTATTCATCCACCACGCCCTCGACATTCAGGAATCACGCTCTCGCTGTGGCCTTTCTCACGATTTACTTGAGAATCGCGCTATCGGTCGAGACTTGCTTGCGCTTCATGCAGGAGTCACGCTTCAGCATCCCGCCTTCTCGACCTGGGCGCCCGGGCCCGCCTTCCCGACCTGCCCGATAGGTTCTACCCGCTCGATGGGCCTGTCTGGTTCTGCCACGTGTGTTCGTCTCCTAGCCCCCCTCCCTGCGAATCCCGTGCTCCATCCTTCTCCCTCCCCCTTCCACCCGTCCTCTCGTCCCTTGTTTCAGGGGCTGCATCAATGACATGCGGAAGGTCAGGAAGATGTACCCCCAGGGGGGTACGATGGAAGACGAAGAGGGCAGGTTCCGAGGGTTCGGAATCATACATGTGTTGATTGGTATTCAAGCAGTTACGAGCGAACAGTGGAATACTGATCGCACATTTATCGTTGATCGCCCCAGCGACCACTGATTCTGAGTCAAAGTGCTCTTCCCGGGGAACGCACCTCTGTAAACATCAAGGAGAGCGTGTGGTCCCAAAACTGCGCCCTGGCCCCCGGTTTACAACAATAGCGGCTCCCGCCTGAGATCTCTCCACACTGTATTTCACATTGGCGCTCTCGCGCGGAATTTCCTGATATTTTGTCCAGGAGTGCCGCCTTCGCGTGGTAACTCCTCTCAATTCATTGCGGCGCCGTGCCCCAAAGACTCACAAACCACGCTCTCACTTTCGGATTTCTTCACGATCTACTTGGGAGTCGCGTTGTCCTTCGAAATTTCGTTTCTGATGGGTTGACTCTTTAACGACTCGCCCGCTCGACCCGGCTTGGCTGTCTGGGCCCGCCCGCCGGGCCTGGGTCCCCCCGCCTGACACGACGCCAGGCTGGCTCTGCCGCTTGCGCTGCTGCTCCTAACTCTTCTTCTGCAAAGTCCTCTCGTGTTCCATCCTTCTCCCTCCCCCTTGTCTCTTCACTCCCCCCCCCGCCTTCCCCTGCCGTAAGGGCTGCGCCAACTACACGCGGCAAGTAGGGAATCCATACTTCCAAGAGGGTGTACGATCGAAGACGAAAAGGGCGGGTACCCGAGGTTTGGGGTTTACGCGTTGAATGGCATGCGAGCAGATAAGAGCGAACAGTGTGAAATTGATTGTTGTTTTTGTGGTTATGGAACCCTCCTTTTTGAAAATAGATACTGTTGATTCCAATGCACTGGTGCACATTGTGGTTTTGCAATGAAGTGCTTCACTCGGGGCTCGCACCCTGTTTTGTATCAGGGGAAGTCTTCCTGCTCAAATTGCATTGTTGGGCCCCGAACTATCACAACAACGGCTTCCGCTGGATACTTCCTCACTGTGTATTCCAAAATCGCGCTCTCGCGCGGGATGCCCTCACAAAGTGTGCAGGAATCGCGCTCTCGCGTGCCCTCGACATTCAGGAATCACACTCTCTCTTGGACCTCTCTCACGATTTACTTTTCAATCGCGCTCTCGCTCGAGACATCCTCGCGATTCATGCAGGACTCACGCTTCAGCATCCCGCCTGCTCGATCTGGCCGCTAGGGCCCGCCATCCTGACCCTGCCGCGAGGGTCTGCCCACCCGATGGGCCCGTCTGGTTCTCCCACGGGCTCTCTGCTCCTACCCCCCCCCATTGCTAAGTTCTCTCGCGTTCCATCCTCCTCCCCCCCCCCCTTCCAACCGTCCGCTTTTCCTCGTTGCTGCGAGGCTGGGCTAAATGCGCATGGCAGGTAAGGAAGATCTGCCCCAAAGCGGGTACCATCGATGTCGAAGAGGGTGGGAAATACGTATTGACTGAACCGCGAACAGGTAGGAGCGAGCAGCCTCAGCACGATTGCAGCAGTAGTAGTAGTCGTCGTCGCCGTCGTCGTCGTCGTCGTCGTCGTAGCAGCAGTTGTAGCTGCAGTAGTAGTCGTAGTAGTTTTCGTAGTAGTAGCTTTTGTAGTAAGCAGTAGTAGTAGTAGTAGTAGTAGTAGTAGTAGTAGTAGTAGTAGTAGTAGTAGTAGTAGTAGTAGTAGTAGTAGTGGTAGTAGTGGTAGTAGTGGTAGTAGTGGTAGTAGTAGTAGTAGTAGTAGTAGTAGTAGTAGGAGTAGTAGTAGTAGTATTCGTAGTAGTCGTAGTAGTAGTAAGAGTGGTAGTAGTGGTCGTAGTTGCAGTTGTTGTAGTAGTAGCCGTAGTCGTAGTCGTAGCACTATTATTCGTATTCGGAGGTGAGGGGGTGAGATCGAAGTGGGACGGAGAGCCCCCCTACCGGGAAATCGATTTCGGTTTCGTGTTCGTGCGTGCCGTGCGTGCGGGCGAGGCGAAGCTGCGTGGGCGGGCGAGAGGAAAGTCTCCTGTGGCTGAGGCGCGGCCGGACCAAATGATTCTCCACCGGGCGGCCGGTGGCGCGCGGTGTCCCGCCGGTGTCCCGGTAGTGTCCCGTCGGTGTCCCGTCGGTGTCCCGATGATGATGCTGATGTTGATGATGATGATGCTGATGGTGCTGATGATGATGATGGTGATGATGATATCGTTAGAGAGACCGAATGTGATGTCGATAGTGAGACCGAATGTGAGATCGATTGTGAGATCGATTGTGATATCGATAGTGAAATCGATAGTGAGACCGAAAGTGAGATTGATTGTGAGACCGATTGTGAGATCGATAGTGAGATCGATTGTGAGATATATTGTGATATCGATAATGAGATCGATAGTGAGACCGAATGTGAGATCGATAGTGAGA